GTGGTGTAATGATTACAGTTTCTGACTAGGATCTGGGGGACCCAAGTTTGAATCACCACTCTGCCATGGAAGCTCACTGCGTGATCGTAGGCTAGTCACACACTCACAGCCTAACCTACCACACAAGGTTGCTGTGAGAATAAAATGGAGAAGAGGGGAAAGACGTAAGCTTCTTTGGGTCCCCCATTGTGAACAAAACACAAAAAAAGGCAGAAAAGAAAAATGAAAACCAAAGGATGTGTCTGGATATTTTCAGTTTCTACAAAGGTGTCTGGACATTCTTTGCCAAGAAATGCTCATCATAAACACAGGTACACCATATGGTTTTAGACTGGCTTGTTTACGCAAATTATTCTGCTTTTTTACTCTTGGCATCTTTAGCTTCTTTAACAGCTTGTTAGTTTGAGCTTGTATAGCAACCTTGGGTGGGCATAACAAGTCTGCACAACAAACACGATGTTGTTTCCTTGAGATGATGTGCTCACAGCTAGGTATAAAGAGAATATGCAATGTGGTTTTATAGCCAGTTCTTTATTTGTTAGTTGTAAGACACTCTTATGAAAGTTCTGCAGACTGAAGAGGATATAATTGCTTTAAACAAAGAACTATCCTAAGGGTTAGTAAATGCATTAGCAGTCAGAGTCTCAGATGCTAAAGCTGAATCTTTCCACCGAACTTACATACATGAATTTAACAACTGTAGTCTTAATATGATTTGAACTTTTAAGTCATTTCATTGAAATGTTTCATATATACTTTTAGTTAAGTGTTTGCAGAAACTAAATATTTCCAGAGTAAGATATACTATGAAATTCTATTTACAAACTCCCACATACGCAGGCATATATATGTGAACTTCCTGTTCCATTCAGAATGTGGACCACCCATCCTCACTCCGTACTTGAGATGTGCTGCATTGCTCCTTGTGGGCTCTTTATTTAAGCAAAAAAATAAAATAAAAATCCCTGTCTTACAGATCAGCAGTACAGAATCGCATGATCCGTCCTAGCCAGTTCTGTAGCATCCATGTCTACTGCTGACCCCTACAGCAGGGAAGGAAGGCCAGACCCAGCAAGTGCCCCCCCAGTCCCCCCCTTCCTATGAGTTCAGGGTGCTCTTTAAGCTGGGCAAGTACTGCTGCTGGCATCCTGTCATTTCCAGCCAGTCCATGTCTACATTAAGCTGGCCTGAGAGACTGTGAGCAGACACCTGGCTCCCACGTGACCATGCCCTGCTCACAATGTCTATACTGAAGAACTATAACATTTAAAAATATAAAAGCAATTTGCTTGATCACACTGATGTTCTCTACTTACACTGTAGTCAGGTGTTACAAGCAAACTTCAGTTGTGATCAGAACAAGTCTGATTTTCAGAACAAGTCATGTTGAGTGCCATGCCAAAATCAAAAATGTTCTAAACAGAAAAGTCTTCAAATCTAACCCACAGCTTGTTGTGCCATCTACATTCATCTGCTATAACAAACTAAGGCTTGTTATTTCACCCATAAACCATGATTCTAAACTACAGTTTAATCCTGGTTTGGAATCTCAGTTTGTGAACAAGAAATAAAAATCCAATGTCCAGTGTTTCCTCTAAGCTGAGTTAGTGTGAGCTAGCTCACAATTTTTTAGCCTCCAGCTCACACATTTTTGTGTTAGCTCAGGAAGGATGGCTCCAGAGCAAACTAATTTATGCAGTAGCCAAATCGCTTGTTCACAACTTTAATGCCAGTAGTTCACAAAGTAGAATTCTTGCTCACAAGACTCCACAGTTTAGAGGGAGCAATTAAGCCTACATTTGAGACTTTTCTCACTAAGAAAATCTTCAATTTTGGCTCCATCAGTGAGGGGAGGAAGAAAAACAAGGTTCCTTCCCTTCATGAGCATTCAAATATCTCAATGACTACATAGTTTCTGTAGGAAAAGAAAACTGCGAGGAGAAAAAAAACCTACATTGCAAGCATGAATGAAGCTCAAATGAGGCTCATTTTATTGTCTCTTACTTGTCCATACTCCAGTGGGGCTGCTGAGCTGCCACTGCTACATCCTATGAGAAGCAGCATATCATCCCCTCTTTCCTCAGAGGCCACAGAAGAAACTATTCAGGCAGAACCACCTGCCTGCAAAATGATCTCTTGTGGGGTGCATGAATGTGAAGAAACTTTATACATGACCCCAGGTGCCTTGGGGCTGTCTTCTTCAGCACAGCTGCTATCATCTGGGGAATTAGCTCTTTCTGGACCTGATTGACCACCTCAGAACAGCCCTTGAATTTCAGCAGTCATAGTCTGAATGACACAGAAAGATCCTTCTTTGACTTCCCCGAACTTCCAGTAGTGTGAGGAGCAAATTAGCCAGAAAAAAGTCTCTCAGGAGTAGGATCCAAGTTCTAAGTACACACAATTAGACAAATGTAAGGAACTGGGAAGGGGAAACACAGAACTTAGAAAGAAAAAAGTACTGTTTCTTGCCACTGCAAAACTTAGGCCCCGGTCACATGAGCGAGATAATCCGGGGGGGAAGTGAGGATTTTGCTCCTGAGCAAAATAAAGCACGGTATCGCTATCAGATGTTTCCCCCGATGCTCTGCGCACATGCCCCCAGCCGCAATCACACGTTGACAGTGAAGTGTGGCAAAGGGGAGGGGGGTGGCATGGTGCGATCACACACGCGGCGATTGCAAGCTGCCACTTCCCGACCTCACAGGCATTTTTTTTTCCAGCCAGAAGTCCCGCCTGCGCATGACCATGAAAGTGAATACATAAAACAGTGGGCATGCACAGCTCCACATTTGTGTGCATACCACAGAGGCTTAAACAAAACATCCGGTGTGAGACGGGACACAGACAGGCGCCGGATGCTACAGGATACCAGCGCTTCTGCGATCCGACGCCCACCCGTGCCAGTATTTCCAGAAAATACTGGACTTTCCCTTCTATCGTTTAACTCCGCTTCTTCCGCCGGGCACCATGGGTTGCCTACGGGTGTGGGACACTTGCCAGATGTTCACATTTATTTATTTATTTATTCAAATTTATAGCCCGCCTGCCCTGCAAGGCTCAGGGCGGCTCAGAAATAGGGCAACATGTGCCAATAGTTAAAACACAAATAGGGCAAAAAATGCCAATAGTTAATCAATAAAACAAGATAAAACCAACGTTTAAAGCAGCATAAAGTGCTCCAGATGTTTTAAAAGATCTTCAATTGCAAGATGGTATCCTGGGGATGGTAGTCCCAATCCTGTGGTGTCCCGGGAATGTTAGTTCAATGGGATGGTTCCACGTGATATTATACTATCTTGTCAGGGGGTCATCACAAACCCCAATGTTATCTAATAATACAGTAGTGATGGTACGGTGGTGGGGTAGTGTGGTGGTGCTGGCGGCTCCTACTCAAAAGCCTGGCGGAAGAGCTCCGTCTTACAGGCCCTACGGAACTGCGCAAGGTCCCGCAGGGCCCAGATCTCCTCCGGGAGCTCATTCCACCAAGCCCTGGCCCTGGTTACAGCATACCTGGCCTCTTTGGGGCCTGGCATCACTAAGAGGTGTTGAGACCCTGACCGAAGTACTCTTGGGGGAACATATGGGGAGAGGCGGTCCCTTAGGTATGTCAGACCCTGGCATGTGATCGTGCCCATAAAATCTGCACAGCAGCCGTCCCTATCACACAGCTAATTCTCCATGTGACCGAGGCCATACATGAGTATTCTCTAGAAGAAGAAGAGATTGGATTTATACCCCGCCCTTCACTTGGAGTCTCAGAGCGGCTTACAAACTCCTTTCCCTTCCCCTCCCCACAACAGACACCCTGTGAGGTAGAGAACTCTGACACAAACTGCTCTTTTTCAAGGACAGCTGTGCCAGAGCTTGTGACAGACCCAAGGTCACATCAGCAGGTGCAAGTGGAGGAGTGGGGAATCAAATCTGGTTCTTCCAGATTAGAGTCATCACACCTGCCTTAAGAGGAGGACCAAGCATTTGAAGACTGGTAAAAGTTTTGCTTCAGCAACCATCAACTGTATGATAGCCAGACATGGTGACTAGTTAAGTTTTCAATTATCAACAATTCCTAAAACTTCATTAAATTTCTTTGATTCTTCGGATGCCCTTCCTGAAAATTACAGTTCTGACATGGCTAACTAATCATTTTCTGTGATAAAGAATGAACTCTTTCAACTTACCTGCAATAACCCTATTCCTATCATCAGTTTACCTGCACTGTTTTCCTGCAATATACCTCCCTTTCACTCCTTTGCTGTTTTATGATACAACTATCACCATGTGGTTTTCTTGCTTTTCATGTATTTAAAAACAGCTAGCTCTCTAATTCATTCTTTATTAATGACTTGACCTGACAACCAGAGTCCAAAATAAGGAATGCTCCTCACCTGAAAGGTTTCACTGAGGTTTTGCTCCCGATGTCTCTCACTGGTCCAGCTGACCACACAGTGCTCTCTAGTTCTTGCTTAACAATTCTCTAACAGCATTCCAGCCTTGTAACACGTTTTAGACCACTGGTTAATGTGGTATTGTTGTATATTCTCTCCTGCTATCCTTACCATTCTGATGCCACAACCTTTTGTAATCCTTCCTTATACCAGCTCCATGGCATTAACCTCTGGCAGGTACTGCATATGGAACCTAGATCCTTCTTTGATTTCCTTGCCTTGATTCTCCAGTGAGCTGACCTTTGCCTGTGAGAACTGCCTGAAAATCCTTGGAATGAAATATATAGTTTACCAAGGCTATGAATTTTTACTATATGTACATACTTTATTTTATGTGTTGCTGACTCTGTTGATGATGTTATTGCTGGCTGATGTAGAACCATAATAAAATTAAGCAAAATTAAGTATTGAGATGTGCGAGTGAGTCTTACAGTGACAGCACTTTACACACACACATGCCTAATTTATCTATTAGAATTTAAGCTGTTTCAATGCAAAATTAAGGTTTCAGCTTGGCTATATGAACTGATAAGCACAAGGACAGATACGTACCCCTAATTAAAGATTCAGCTGCATAGAGATCCTTCTTGTAGGTCACCTAGAGGTAAGATAAAGCTAATTAAGTTTAACAGAATGAGGAAAATGTAATAAATAAATAAATGCAGTGCCTGAGGGCAGTTATTCACACTGAAATACTGCTAACTGATAATATTGATAATATTTCTTAATTATAGCTAGTAGCAACAGAAATCACAAGAAAAAATATGCTAAAAACATTTTAAAAATTAAGCTTTTAGAATATAATTCATTCTAAATCACTTACTTTGAAAAATTGCAAGAAGCACTAGATTTACTTTACCTTAAATACTTATCTCATTCACTCTATAAGAATACACTTCTGTTAGTAAAATATAAAATTTGTCAATTGCATTTTCATACAAAAGTAGTTTCTGTACAACATAATCAGCATAAACTAGAATTAATAAAGCAACTTATAATAACCACTAGATATGTAGTTTGATTCCAGTGACACCTTTCAGACCAACAAAGTTTAATTCAAGGTATAAGCTTTCGTGTGCAAGCACACTTCTTCAGATACCACACACATGAAAGCTTATGCCTTGAATTAAATTTTGTTGGCCTTAAAGGTGCCACTGGAACCAAACTTTGTACTGCTGCTTCAGAACAGTACAGCAACCCACCTGAATCTATCACTAGATATGTAGAAGCTCTAGGCTGCAATCCAAAATGATACTTCCCTGGGTGTAAGTCCCATTAAATGATATGGGATTTATTTCTGAGTCCTCTACACTATGGTCAGTTCTGAGCTACAAATTATTATAGTGATCTACAGCTAATACCTTTCCACACTGATTACATAAAGCTGTACAATTAGGATACAAATATCTGTGCAAGAGTCCCTTGAAGAGAATGCTATTGATTCATTCTTTGTTTTCAAATATGGTATTGCTGCTGGGAAAATAACAAAATAATTACTTGGAAATTTAAGTCAGCAGAAAGGAGAGAAAATGAAAGATGATGAAATTAGAAAGGGATAGCAACATTCACATCAGGATCCCACAGGGAAACATGATGGCCTTGAGTGCATTGAACACAGCAAATGATCCCAAATTAAACTTAAATAGGAATCTTGTGAAACTTCGTCATTTGGAGGTGGGGGTTAGATTTGAGGAAGCAAGTGCATAACCTAAAGAGCAACCCTATCCTATAATTTTTGGGCAACCACTATTGCACTGTTTCATATTGCACAGGTTCAGTGTCATTGCTAGAAATGTATAGTTCCTGATAACTGAGAAGTCACATGCATAGTGAAGAAACAAACAAGCATGATATGACACTTTCCAGTGTTTACGGCTCTTGCATGCACTATAACTATATACTTTATACAATGTATCTGTCACATGGTGATAAAAATTTCATTTAGGAGGCTCCTCAATATCAGGATCAGATTTTCTTTTTTGTTTTGTTTTGTTGAGAAATCAACTTTTCCAATGTTTTTATTAAGGAAATGTAAAGGCACTGCTAAATATCTACTTCTAAGCGCAGCATGTGTCAGTGAGATGTACAAATTGATAATCTTAAACCTTCTCGTATTCAAAACATTTCAAAATGCTTGAGTATTACCAGGTTCAAGACTTAACCATTGGTGCCACAGCCCTATGCATCTCCTGAAGCCTGCCTGAGTCTTAAAACAGAAAGAATGAATTTTCTCCAAGAACAACCTGGATGGATCAAATAGGCATCTCCAAGAGTAGGCTGCTTCTAAACTGCTGAACAGTAGCTGTGTAAGACAATACTAGAATGCCATAAAGTTTCCAGCATGCATAAACAACTGTTGCTGCTGCTAGCTCATGCCACTCATGGTTAGAAACATTCGGCTATGATCTTATAATGTTGAATTCTGCAACTACTTCACTGATAGATGACCACCATCCACAGCAGCTCCCTGTGACACCCCCCCTCCAAGGCATTGCCAAGTGTTGAAGAATTCTTTGTACTAGGGTTGCCAAGTGGAACTTACCTTGGTGGCGGGGGACTCCCGGGTGAATCCCGGAGTGCGCGCGTGCAAAGTGCGCACCGCACATACGTCACCAGGAAGTGACATTATGACACCGGGCACGTTGGGGGCGTGGCCACGACCATACAAGGGAAAACCATAGAGTTTTCCCTTGTATGGCTGTGTCCCCGCCCCCAGCATGCACGGCGTGCCCGCGTCACTTCTAGGTGACATGCACGTCGGGAAGGAGTTCCCCCTGGGGCCCGATCCGGCACCGCCGGGGAACAGGCCTCTGGGGCGGGGGTTTCCCCGCCCCCCGGGGGGGACTTGGGATCCCTACTTTGTACACAAAAAGCCAGATGGGTCAGTGGCTGCAGTGAGAAGGGAAATTGCCCCTCCTTCTTCTTCTACCAGTGGAAAATCTGTAAGATCCAGCCCTCATAAATTGATAGATGCAACCATCATCTCCTTGACCAATACCATTCCATGAGTAAAATGTTCCCTTACACAACAGACAGACTACTGCACCTACCTTCCATAGGTCTGGAGGGCCTTCAATAAGTTTAGCATTTGTTTTGCTGTACTTTAGAGCCAGATGCAAACATTCTGTTCCATAATCCAGGTCATAGTCATTACACTGTAATAAATATTTACAAATAAATAGTGGTCCAGAAAATACATGTATATAAAGCACAATTTTAATTTAAAAACCACACATTACATGTGCTGAAACAGGACTGACAGCCAACCCCAGCAGGTCAAACACAGAAATGCCCAAAGAAAGCCATAAAACACTAGATTATTCCTGACCCAAAGTAGTCTGCAATTCAGAATGTTTTGTCCTATGTCAGATTTGCCAATTATCCAAAATGGTTTTTGAGTCCTTTGATTTCTTAATAGATTGTCTAAACTTGGCACAATGTACGCCTGCACACACATACACCCCTCCACCTTTCACTTGTAAAAAATTGGAAAGAAATGTAATGTTAATGAACAAGAATAAAGAAATATAAATTAATCTCAATATTTTCCCTCTAAATGCTCCTAACCACAGCAGAAAAATTAAAGGCTGAAAACCACGCAGAGTCTTCAACAACAATAGAAGTATAACAAGTTTGTCAAACTGAAATAGCTAGCAAAGCACCTATTTATTATGACATGACATCTTGGCTTGGCAACCACAGGTATAACTATGGAAAGTAAAAAAGTCTTCCAATAAAAAATTCAGTCTCAATGCCTCTGTTTTAGTGACAACAAAAGTTGCATTTTTCAGAAATCATGCAGCACAACAAGTCAGCAGAGCTGAAGCTTGGGTTGTCATAGACAGAATTCCTCAACTGGTCCCACCAGCTGCCTAGCCAAGCTCAACTTCCACTATTAGCTATGCTGCCAACTCCTAACACAAGATCTTTCTCCATTTCCTTCAAGACAAAAGGAAGATAAACCAAGTAAAATCCACATCTAACCCAAGGGAAATGTAGATTTTTATTTTATTAATTGCATTTTTATTCCACCCTTCCTGCACAGAAAAATACATGGATTTTCTTACCATCATTTTACCCTTTTAACAACTCTGGGAGGTAAGTTAGGATGAAAGCCCAAAGTCACCCAGGTGAAATTCATGAATGAATGAGGATGTATGGGAATACACATTTATATGAACAGTGTGGTTAAAACGCAAAAGAAACTGTAGTAGTGATACTGAGCTTGAATTTTACAAGCTTGAATTTTACAAGCTCAGTAAGAGCATAATTTCAGCCAGAACTTGCACAATGATAAATGACAGTTTAAGCAATATAGGAAATGATATTGCTTGAACAAGCAACCATCTTCACTCACAGGACCAACAGGTTTTGAAAGACACTAGATATATCCAGACTGAATATACTATCTCAAGAAAGAAAATGTTATATGTCCTTGTTAGCCGCCCTGAGCCTTCGGGGAGAGCGAGATACAAATCTAAAGAATAAATAAATAAATAAATAAATAAATAAATAAATAATATGAACTTGTTACACAGGGTACCTAAAAATTAACAAAACAGATCCTATTTGACAGCTCATGTTTCTTAGACATCATGATGGGACAGAATTTCCTATGAGAAGTATCCTATAAAAGGATTATCCCATTAGCAAATGGCCCCTTTTTAATTTGATATTTTTCTCCTTGCCAATGCAGGACAACATTTCTTTAAAAAAAACAAAAAAACCCTTTCCCCTAATTATATGACAATGTTCATACTGTATCCTGAATCTGCCACTATGCCAAAAAGATAATCAAGTGCAGAGCTATCTGAAGTATTTGAGTTCACTTGGACCACCAATCTTGTTTTAGATTTTGAACACATTAAAACATTACTGAACTTAAGTCACATGAAATTATTAATCAAAACTATACAAGACTTGTTTAGACTCTGCCTTCCTGCAACACAATGAGGTGGGCAGATGGTGTATTCAAGCTTCCTGCTTATGCTTTGAGTAATACAAGTATGAATGGGAACTGCTATGAAGAAATGGAAATTGGAAGCAGATGAAATTCCCTTAGGTTTTTTTTTAAAGTCAACACAACTTGAGTCTGCTTTTCCCTTGTTCATGCCAGGACAGTATATGGTCAAAACTAACATTTATTACAATATAAAAATCAAGAATACACAGCTCTCATCTATTTGACTTTTGTGATGGGGGGTGGAGGCAATATTACCTAAATCTAAAAGCATGGCGCAGAACTGTTTGAGACAAGTGCTACCAAGAAAATGAGGAAACTTTGAAATAACTTAAGAAAATATCAAGTACAAGTTAAAATAACTATGCCATGAGTTTAGGGTAACTATGTCCTTCTGTCACACAAGTGCTGAACTTTAGAAATATAAACATAAAAAATATTATTAGATGCCTATCATATTAACCATAAAAATACAGAAGAAAATATTTTTCTTCAGAATTAAAGACACCTTCAAAAGAGTTTCTTGTTTTTTGCAGTCAGAATATCGGTTATCTTTAGGGAAAAAATCAAATGTTCTTTCTAATCCATCCAATATGCAAAACTGACTCCATCCGAAGAGAAATTAATGTTGCTTAACGTCTAATTTGTAGTCCTTCATAATTTCTTGAACAAGAAATATTGCCACATAAGAGATGTTCTAAATTCTTAGGCTATCCTCTTGACTTTTTTTTCTAATGCTGAATTGTTGGCACAAGCCAGATTCTCATTTGACATAGGCCAACCCTACTACAGCTGCCTCTGTCACAATCAATACCAGGAGCGATTTCTCATCCTCACTTTCTGCACAAGTCTTACTGTGAATAAATTCATTTTATCCTGGGAGGTTGACACTGAGCAAAAGCCTCCACTGTGCATTTTAAAAGGGGTTTTTTCCTCTTGACAGAGAACAGGCAAGGGCTTTCCAGATGTACCTCCACTCACCTGTATTCAAATGCTAATAGATTTGGCAGGAAAGATAATGGGTGGGTCCAGATCTCCCCTTCCTCCTAGCAGGGAACAGAGGTCTTTGGAGGACTTTAGGCTAGCTCCAAGACTAATCGTCATGAAGAAGCTGCAGGAAATGCTTCCTTGACCTGGCCAGGTCAGTGGGTGGAGAAACAGATATGATAAAACCTCCCTGCCACAGGAAGGAACTCTCTTTTCCTTGGGTGCTGCATCCATGAGCACACAGAGACCTCTCCTTTGGCAAGGAGCACACAGAGACCTCTCCTCTGACAATTTTTAGGCAGCAGCCTAGAGCGGCCCCTTAAGAAAGGGTGCCCCCCGGCCTGCCACCCCACCCCCCTCACCTAAACAGAGAGACACTCCCCCCCCAGGCACAACCCAGTGGCAGAGGCCGGCTCTAAACCCTACCGGATCGCCCCGCAAGCTGCGCTGCACAGCACTGCAGGGTAAGTCAGTCCAAACCTCTCCAGGGCCAAAGCGCGGCCACGATCCTGCCCTTCCCCAGCCAGTGATTGGGGGCTACCAGCACCCCCCCCTTTTGCCCGCCCTTTGCCTCCTTTGCCCCCCTTTCCCTGATTAGCAAGCCAAGCTTCACAGAACTTTTAAGCTTCCTCCTGCCGCCGCTGCTGAAAGAAGCGCTCCTCAGTGCCTGTTTACTCGGAAGGAGCGAGCCCCGCTGACGTCAATGGTACTGGCTCCAAAGATGAAGCAGCATGCCCGGGATATTGCAGCAGGTCGGATTTTTATTTGGGGCGGTGGCTGCTGGTGGGGATGCTTCACTTCGCGGGTGCATGGGGGGAGGGGCACCAGAAGGTAGCCTCGCTCACCTAGTGTGCAAAAAAAACCTGGAGCCAGCCCTGGGTGGAGCAAGCAGGTAATGGCACTCTATAGCAGGGATATCAGATTCATTCGTTATGAGGGCCAGATCTGACATATATGGGACTTTTGCGAGCCGGGCTGTAGGGCTGCCAACCTCCAGGTGGGTTGTTGAGAAGAAGCAAACAACCGTGATGCCAAAAAAGTCTCCAAAGACTAGAAATTTCTTTTTCCAATATTCAGTTTACTGGAAGCAATTCAAACGCCATCAATACCAACGAACCATGCATATTATATCTCGTTTCGTATATAACTTTATCAGTTATATAACATACTTATTCTCAGTTTCCTTTCCGTTATCTCTCTCTTTGATTTGCTGCAACCTCCAGGTGGGGCCTGGGGATCTCCCGGAATTACAACAGACCTCCAGACTACAAAGATCAACTCCCTTGGAGGAAATGGCTGCTTTGGAAGATGGGGTGCATGGAGTTAGACCTTGCAAATGTCCCGCCCCCTTCCCTAACTGTGCCATCCTCGAGCTCCATACCCCAAATCTCCTGGTGTTTCCCAACCCAGAGTTGGCAAATAAGGGCACTTTCACATATGCTAAACAATGCAGTTTCAGTCCACTTCAGCTAACATTTGCAAGTAGATTCTGCCATTTCACACAGTAAAATCCAGTTGCAAAGTGTATTGAAAATGTGTTATTTAGTGTGTGTGAAAGCACCATTATAGAAGTGGGGGCCTGCAAAACTCACAAGGGGGGAATCCCATATCCCCCCCAATGTTGAGCTTTTCCCAGCCTAACTACCCACCCTGAAGCCTGGTAGCAGCAGTGTCTCAGCTTGTGCAGAGAATGAAACATTGTACTTACCTGAAGGTTTCTTCTCTTCAGTGGGGCGAAGGCATCCACACTGGTTAGGCCATGCTTCCTCTTGCTCCAGGCAGGGCTATGCACATTTTTGAGCATGCCCAGTAGGACAGAGCGTGGGTGTCCTTCCAGACATGAAATAGCCTAGACCGCAACTAACTGCACACCACTCTCATGAATATTAAACTGGAAAAACAAACTTCTTTAATCTTAACAGCAAACACCCAAGTAAAAACTCAATTGTAACATGAAAGACATGTCATATACAACAAAACAATTTTCTTTAACGTTACCCCCAATAAAACACCAGGAAAAAACTTGGTTGTCAACATGAAAAAACATAACTTTTCCACACAAAAAACAGCGGTGGGCAAATTGGATGCCTTCGCCCCACTGAAGAGAAGAAACCTTCAGGTAAGTACAATGTTTCATTCTCCTTCAGTGGGGGAAAGGCATCCACACTGGTTATGTAGAAACACATCTCTTAACCCAAATTGGTGGAGCCAACTGAATGGTTGCCAATCTGCCTGTTCCCCTGTTACTGAGGACCGCAGCTATGGCCGCCACTTGTCTCTTTAATGTGTTGGGTCGTAATCCCCTTTTCCAACTCTCATGTAGAAAGGTAATGGCATCACCAATATCTGGCTTCATAGGATCCACCCCCTGAACAACCACCCAACTGTTAAGGGCTGCCCAGGTGTAATTATATATATCTCTTGTGGCTTGACATCGTGCTTGGAACATGATGTCCGCAATGTCCTTAGACAGGCCTGATAGTTCTGTCCTGCCTTTCAGTCTCCATGCCCTCAACTGAAACCACTCTGGATCTGGGTGGAGGATGGGTCCCTGATGCAGTAAATCTTTCACACTTGGCAATCTCCATGAATCTTCTACTGACAGTTGAACCAGTTCCGAGAATCACATCCTCCTCGGCCAATATGGAACTATCAGAATTACATCTGCTGCCTCCTCCCTGATCTTTCTCAACACCCTGCTGATGATAGGGATCGGAGGAAAAGTATATAGAAGACCCTTCGGCCATCTTACATGGAGAGCGTCCAGTTCCTCTGCTTCCCTCTCTGTGAACCTTGAGAAATATCTTGGTACCTTTTGATTCCTTGCTGAAGCGAAAAGGTCCATCTGAGGCATCCTGAAGCGTGATGTCAGTCCCCTGAACACTCGGCTGTTCAGGGCCCATTCTGCTTGATCCACGTCCTCTCGACTCAACCAATCTGCCTGGGTGTTGAATACTCCCTGTATGTGTTGAGCTCGCAGACCCTTCAGATTCCTTTCCACCCATGCAAGCATCTGCATCGACTCTAGGTATAATAATGTCGCTCTTGTCCTGCCTTGGTGGTTTACGTCAGCTTTTGCCGTTGTGTTGTCTGCATGTACTAGTACAAATTTTCCTCTTATCACATTCGCAAAGGCCAGAAGTGCCAACTGTATTGCTCTGAGTTCCAGGAGATTTATGCTGTTCTGTGTTTCTTGATTGGTCCATTTCCCTTGAACTGTCTTGTCCAAGCTGTGGGCCCCCCAACCCCTCAGACTGGCATCTGTGGTTATCATGATGTCGGGGTTCTGAAACAATGGAACACCTTGTCCCAGGTTCGTTGTGGATGTCCACCATTTGAAAGAGTCTCTCATCCTTGTCGTGATAAAAATGAATTTGTGTCTCTTCCTTACGATGTCGTTCTGATATGGAAATGCCCATTGTAACACTCTTGAATGAAATCTCGCCCATGGTACTAAATCTATTGTCGCAATCAAGAGACCTAGTAGCCTGGCTAGTGTAATCAAGTTTGCTCTCTTTCACTGTCATAGAGATGTTATCAGTGATCTGATAGTCGTCTGCTTCTCTGTTGGTAAAAAGACTCTTGCCAGCCTGGTGTCTGTCCGGGCACCCAGATGTGTGATGACTTGAGACGGAACTAGTTGACTCTTCTGTGTATTGATAAGAAAACCATGAACCTGTAGGAAGTGTACCACACGGTTGATGTCTCTCCTTAGTGCTGCTATTAATGTCACCAGGACCTTGGTGAACACCCGAGGTGACAATGATAGACCAAAAGGCAGTGCTCTGTATTGGTAATGTATTGGTAACGCAGTTTTTTTTTATGTTCTGGATGTGTAAGTACACCTCCTTGAGGTCCAAGGAGACCAAGAAATCATTCTGATGTAAAGCTTGGAGGATGGACCTTAAAGATTCCATGCAGAACTTCTGTTGAACCACCCAAATACTGAGTTCTTTGAGATTCAAAATGGCCCTCCATTCTCCTGATTTTTTCAGGACAAGAAAAAGGATAGAATACACTCCCTGGAAGCACTGCTAAGTTGGGACTGTCTCTATCACACCAATGTCCAACAGGTGCTGGATGGCTTCCCTCATATGGATCAGCTTGCTCAAATTGCTTGGAACTGGAGAATGAATAAAACAATGTGGGGGTAGTGATGAAAACTGGATCTTGTACCCAGACTCCACAATAGAGAGGATCCAAGAATCTTGAGTGGTCCTTCCCCATTGTGGGACAAAATCTTGCAGTTGCCCTCCTATCATGGCGTCATGCTGCTGGCTTTTTCCCTTGACTGTTGTAGTCCTTCTTGGTTCTGGAGAACTGCTTACTCCAAAATCTTGACTGGGAGGAGGAAAAACGGCCTCCTCTATTGTCCCTGTAATCTCTGCCTCTGAATGGTGGCTTGTGAGGGCGAAAGGATTGGAAAGCTCTTGGTTTAAAGTCCTTCTTTTTTGGAATCAGTTGATAATGGCATCGCTCGCTTCTTTTCCTTGGTCTCCACTAACACCTTCTCCAAAGGACCTTCACCAAACAGGAGCCGTCCCAAAACTTTTCTGTGGACAGGTTTGATTTTGAAAGTGAGTCCACTTTCCATTGCTTGATCCATAGATTCCTTCTCACCACCACGTTAGCTGCCTGAGATCTAGTGAAATATTGTAAGCTATCCTGAGAGGCATCTGCTGCAAACTGGGGTGTATGCTTTATTTTGAGTAGGGATCTCTTTAGGGTGAAGCAGATTGTCAGACCAAATCACTATGGCACGTGAGAAATTTGAGAGAACTGCAGACGCTCTGATGGACAAGGATGCTGCTTCATGTGTTCTCTTTAGCACTGTCTCATTTTTCCTATCCACCGCATCTTTTAGCACATTGTCCCCATCTTTCGATAGGACTGCTCCTGAGTGTAGTGCCACAACCGGAGCATCCACTAAAGGTGCCTTCAAGTCCTCCATGATCTTAGCACACACTCGTGGCTGCTGCTTCAAGTTCAATAAACACAAGAGAAAAGCCTCCACCTGGATGCACAACAATATTTGCGACCAAGCCCCCTTCCCTCTCAGCCAGCAAACTTAAATAAACAACTTTAACAGACCCACATGGCTGGGAATTGGGAAGTTTGGCAGCCCTGCCCCCTGCTCTCAGGGGGAAATAGGAAGGATAAGGACAGGTGGGGGAGGGGGTGGAGGAGGGGAGAGCTGTGGGCTAGATTAAAGCCCTGGCTGGGCTGTTATGGCCTGCGGGGTATAGGTTTGACACCCCCACTCTTAGTCAAATAAATATCATTAGCAAACTAATAAATTTTATTGGACAAATAAATCATTATCAATATCTGTTTTTTACCTTTTTGTTTTTATTTTTGGAAGTCTCATTTAATGTTAATAAAAAGCAAATTTGCATATTTTCCAATAAAATATGTGTGTAATATTTGTTTATGTCTTGCAGCTCTCAAGCATCTGACTTTTATTTTATGTGGCTCTTACATTAAGCAAGTTTGGCCACCCCTGGTCTATGTGCTACAAAGAACCACTCACAGCATCCAAAGTTATAAAGTATTTATTAAAAAGAAAATGTTTACAAGCATACTTTTAGCACAGCACCAAACTGAGCAAGGAATACCGAAAGAAATGGGAAAAACGCAACTCCTCTGTCCCTTGCTGTATATTAGATGTTGCCCTGAAAGTATACATTTCTAGGTGAGGCTACTGACTTTCTTCTGCCTTTCAAGAAAAAATGTGAAGCATATACATTTGCCAAAGTTTTGAGAGCAAAGGGGTTGGGGAATCTGGGGGTCTTGGCATTTTTTAAAGGGGGTACTGTTTGTGCATTTACTTTGATTTTAGCATTTTACTTGCCGCCTCCAAGCTATATATCCAAGTAGTGCTTTTTTATGTTTGTGACTGTTTAAGTTGCATTTAGTACACAAAGGGACAAAGAAGAAATGCTTTAGACACACACACAAAATTAGAACAGCTGCCTTTGAGCAACTTCAGACTTACCTTCCCCAGTGAAGACAGACCCCAAAAGAAAAGCCAGAATATGAATATCAAAAAGAAAGTCTATACTACAAGGATTTGCTGCTGCTACTGCTGTTTTATGCCACAGCTGCTGTGCTCATGCCTCTTGCCATTTGAAATAGGAATGACTGGAACAGTTCATCATATGTATTGTGAGTGTAGGATGTGTTCATTCACACAAGGAAACTTTTCCCTCTAGAAGCACCATTATTTGTCTGTAAGTCTGATATGCAGTACTACAAACATAACAGAAATACTTATGTGAAGGGTTGTCACTTGGTAACAACTTAAAAAATAATTTGTTGTAATACTTACTGTTTCTTCTTTCCAACAAATACATGCAAACCAGTTCCCTCCCACTGTATAAAGAAGGGGGGTGGGGTTGGAACCAAGTTCCTTTTTGAAATTCCAAAATTCTTACCTGACGATATGCTTGATGGATTACATCAAATAAGAAAGCTTGAGGCATTTCACTTGCTCTGTACTTGGCACGATCTAGTGAATGGTCTAAACATCCGTCTGCAGACGAAGCAATAACAGTGGAGACAAGAGGACGGATTGCTCCTGCTGCCTAGGGAACAACAAAAAAGTATATTTAAACACAGATTTACAAGTTTACTTTAGTTAATCTCTGCTTAAAGAGCAAGTCCAAACAAATTAAAGATTCTGACATCTAAATATATTGTTGGCCAGATCCAAATGGACACTGAACTGCAAATCCTAATTCAAAAGACCTTGAGTGAAAACACTGCATCAGATATTTATACCTGGCCCTATGATGCACCACAGCAGCAAAAAGAAACCCTCAACCTCTTCCCCAATAGAAGGACACAGCAGAGAAGCACTGGCACAACTTTGTATACTTGTGAAGAACAAGGCACAAAAATATTCTATGTGAGAACCAAATTTTTAATTTATAAACAGAGTCTAAGGAGCCAGTTCACACAATTGCTTGCTTATTCTGAAGTGCCAAATGAGTGGCAGCTATGATGACCCCATCCACTTCCCTCCCTCAGAGGAAAGATTTTTCATTTTTCTCGTCCCAGTATGATATTTTACTGCTGGCTCAGCCCAGGAACCCAAGGGAAGGTTGTGATTGCCCTTTAACTTAAACCACTGAAAATGGCACTTGAGATATTTTGAAACTCAAAATTAACAAAATATTTTATTCAACACAGAGGGGAAAGGTCAGGTGAAATCAGGGGTTAAAAGTTCTGAGATAACTTAATACAGGTATTTCAAGGTAAAACCAGTACTTTAGTTCTTATGTTTCAGGGAAATGAGAGTTTCTTAAACTTTAAGCAGTTACTTAAATCTTTATGTTGAGAGGCTTTTGTTCCAGTGTTTTCCAAACACTACAATACCCTTTCTTTGAGTATTAACTGACTCATTTAGTTTTCAGAAGGCTAGTACACTTTCCACTACCCAAACCCCTTCTCTTGAAACACCAGTACTCATCTTGAGTTTTTAACTGAATCTTAATGTCTCTAAAGGCACACCAGAGCAGGGATCTCTCCGCTCTTCAGAGCTAACTCCCTATTTGACTGGATAGGGAAATTCTCCTCTCACTCCTCTCCTTACCTAAGTGAAAGATTACAAATGCTCTAAGGACCCAGCATATAACATGCTTCTTTCATGTTTCCATATTTTTGGCACACAGGAAATATGGCCTTATAGCTCAGAACTAGAAGGGGTCAGGACCACTGGAATAATACAAAATAGACTCAATATGTAACAGTTCTCAGGTTCAAATCCTGGCTATAGTCTTACAAGGGAAAATAGCCGGAAGAGCCACTACACACTACACTTACCTAACCAAACACAGTGGTACAAGGAACAATTCATGCCCCAAGGTTGCTGCTTCCCAGATGCCTTCTTTCTGTTCAATGCCCCCAGTGTTCATTTGGTCAGTTAGTAATGGCTGATAGTTACTCATACCATTTACCTTGTTACCAGCTGTGTGCTCTTGCAAATGCATACTCTCTCACACACAGGTAGTGTGATGTCATTAGATATTAGGACTTCTATACCATCTCCAGATGCACAAGATTCAAATGTCTTGGGTCACAAAAAAACCTTGGAGGTGTGTTGCAAGTTGCAACCGGCAGCAGTTAACTGGAATCCTGTGTCCATTGCAATGCTGATGGGGACAACTGTCTAGGCTACCAGTTTACTTCAATTCACCGAGTCTCAGTGGGAAAGAGGACTATAAATAAATAGGAATACTTTAAACCTCTAGCTTAACATTAATGTACACCACTGTAAGATAAAAACAAGCTCCAAGATTCCCTTTGTCCAATGATGCTCTGCTGGTGTACAGGGTAATGGCTACATGCTTTATTGACTTCAATGTATTTTTATCTGCTGCAAACATAGGGCAATTTCAGAGTAATTTCTCTGTGCAATTTGGAAACAAGATTGCTCCAAAATTCAGTGTGATTAATGCTTTCATCAAACATTTTCCAATTGTTACAGCAAAGGAAATACTTTCACACAACTGAAACATTTAGTGAACATTCACAGCCCATGTATTTTCTAAACTGAAGTAGAAGAAATACCTGTGTATTTATTATTAGAGCAGGTAGGAACATGCACTTCTCTTTAGACATCTGCACTCCAGCCAATTATATCTCTAGTAATCAACATGCTTCAGCCTTATACTGTAATTACCACTTCTGTTCGCAAAACAGTCTTGAAAGAGTACTTATTCTTATAGTATACCACCTTCAAAGATAAAGCAATCACCGGCAATTATGAGATTAAAATATTTCAACTATTTGTAAAAAAAAGTTGTATTAAACTTTTTGTATATTTGAACATTGAATTGATACTGTTTGCCCCCCCCAGTCGGAATAACGAGAAGGACAACAGTTTGGATCAAACAAGGGCCACTTTATTAACAATATAACAGTTTATTAATAAAAAAAATGGCAAGAGAGCATTTTCTAAGTAGCAGAACAGACAAGGCAGGTGTCAGGATGACCAGCCTCCTTGTCTAATATGTGGGCGAGCCCCCAACCCCGTCTTGAGCCATTAATCTGGCTTGCGACCAGCAGCCCAGCCTCTGGTAGCCTCCCAGGAGTGCCTAACCCGAAACCATACAGCTTGCAGAGAGGAGCTTACCCAAGAGGCTCCCAGAGGGAATCATCATTCACCACCCAGGGCCTTAATAACCCGCAGGCCGTTCCTGAAGACCCCCCAGTTCCCAAAACAAGGAATGGCTTAAGGTGCTCACCATTTTCCGCTTCCTTATCCCTGCACTATTCTGCCAAAGTGACCAACCTATTTAACAGCCACGCCCCAACCCATCTTTCCACTGCCCCAGTGTAAGGTAGGCAACAACACCACCACCTCATTGCCTATCTTGGGTGATGGTGAAAAATTCCTACCTGGCCCCCTTGGGCAACCAGCCTCAGCTTACACTAGAAACAGGGCGGGCGGGCACGAGGCAGCAACTGCCTTGGGCGGGAGCAGAGCCGAGCCTATACTAGGCTGGCTCCTCCCTGCCCACGTCCCAGTGCGCCACGCTACGATGCCATTGCCGCCCCGCCTTCCTCCGCGGTGGCAAACCAGCCCCCGGTCGCCATTGCCTTCGGCGGGCGACCAGGAGCTCCCATCAATAAGCTAGTCTTCTAGCATTAAAGTGATTTTAGAAACAGTTCATTCATTTACTCGCCAACAAAACTAGAGATGAGTTTGCAGAAACTTGAAGGTCCAATACTTACACATATAGTTTATCCGAGGGTTTTTTAGTTATTACAATATGGTGTTATTTGTGAGACCCAGAATCCACTTCCACTGTGGAAGATCTAAACTCTGGTAATGTGTACTGCATGTATTTCTACTGGAAGCAGAAACACTTCCCATTGCTGAAGACAATGAGCCTGGTGTTTGCATGTACACCTGAGCTAAATGAGTAACTGTAGATGTACAGAAATGAAGAAGCAACTGGAATCCTTGCTACGCAATGTGATGTGGCAAGTATGTCATAAAAGCAAAATAAAAAGAGCTAGTACAGAAAAGACAACACAGTTCTTTCATTCCAGCCACTGAATATGCAGAATACTGGAAAGTACCGGAACATGAAATTTCTACTGTGACAGAGACAGAACCTTCCCCAAGCAGTCTCCCTGGAAGCTGCCTCCCTTGTAGTATGCCCAAGAGATAGAATGCTTATATAAATGTTACCTTTGGCAAAACAAATATTTTATGAGGTAGAACAAAAAAAAAGCCAGCCCAATTTAAATTTTTCTCAGTCATCCTATTTTCTAACAGTTAACAGTGGCCCCATCTTTAGATGCTTAAATCTGTGTATTGGGGCTGTGTATAGGGAAGATTTTTCAAACAAGCTTGGGGAGCCCCCAAGTTAGCAGAAATATCTGAAAAGTTACAAAGTGGAGGGGGGTTAAAATCCTCCAAAATAGAAAAGTGTTGTCTGCACAAGCAATGCACCTCCATTGCCTGGTGGCATTCATCTTCTGTACTATGAGTGTAAGAGGGGAGAGTCCCTGGGAGGCAGAAAAAGCATGGACCAGGCAGGCAAAATTCCCCCTCTCCATGAGTTGCCACCCACCCATTCCTTCTTCAGCCACCAAGGCAACAGCACAGCAATCTGGTGGGCAAGGAGGCTGGGAAGAAGTGAGAGCTGCTGCTCCCACATTCATGGCCAACTTGGCAGCAGTGCTGGAGTGGAGCAAAAAAGGGAGAGTGGAGAGAAGGATGAACTGGTCATCCCCCCCCCCCCCAACTCACTGCTCAGGTAGGCTGAGGTAGCAACTACCCCCAGCACTGTCACCTCAGTTTCCCTCCCCAAACTGTCCCCTTGGCTGCTGACTGCTGAGACCGAAGCAACAATCCTAGAGGCTGGCAAATGTGTGAAAAGAAGCCTCTACCACAGCTCTACCCACTCCTTCTCACCCACCTGCCCACCCCCAGCACTGTTAACTCAGTCTCAGTAGACAGAAGCTAAAGGGAAAGTTCGGGGAGGGCAGCTGAGGCAACAGCATTGGGAGCAGGTGGGTGGGTAGAAGGAGTGGTAGAGGGTAGAACGGCAGCAAGGAGGGGAAGTGGTAGACAGAGCAACAAGGAAAGTGTGTGTGTGCCTAATGGTGCAATGAGAGGTGGTTTGGGTAGAATAACTAGAAGAAGGCTGGGTGGGCAGCCAGAGAGGTGAGAAGGGTATGTAGCGATCAGATTGAGGAAAGAGGGCATAGTGAGAGGGCAAGAGTAAGGCAGGGACCAGTTTTGGGGAGCAGGAATAAAAAAAAGAATGCAGTGTGGATGGAGAAAGATGAGAAGAGGAGTTGGCAGTTCAGGGAAAGGGTAAAGAAAGGTGGCTGGGGGTGTCAGAAGCCAGGGAATTTTCCTGTGAGCTTCTCACTTGTCAATATACCTAATAGTCAACATGGCCCCATCTGTGGATATACCTGGATCAGGGCCATGTTCATTATTTATTTATTAAAATATTTATAGCCCACCTTTCCTCATGGTTCAAGGTGGTTACAATACTAAAGATATTTTCAGTTTAAAACCAGAAATAAAATCACAAACTCCAAATCTCCACCCCATGCT